ATACGAGGTTAACAAGAATATCAAATTTTCCTTAATCATATCGTCAATATCTATAGAATTAAAAAGGTCCTCGAAATCAAAGCCATGCATGGAAAAAATTAACATATCCTTAGTAACTCTAGTAATCTCTAAACTATATTTAATTATTGCCGTGTTTTGTAAGTTATCAATTAAATTTTGAAGAAGAGATTGTAAGATCTTCCCAGCCTTCGTGATATATGTATTGTATCCATTAGTGATACTACGGAATTTTATAGGGCTTTTCTGAAATATTTTGGTGTTAAAAAATACTTTTTGGATGTTTAATACTATTTAGATGAATATTCAGTCTTTTGTTCAAAGCTAAAAGACGATTATCATCTTCTCTATTATTGTCTACTATTACTTGTTTTCCAATATTTTACTTGTTTTCCGGTATATTAAGCAGAAAGAAATACATCTGAAGTCTTCATCTCCGCATTTTAATTTGCTCTTTACTTTAGTGTTTTTTCAAAAACAGTGTACCTAATCATCTTTTCTTTTAATAAGCACGTATTTTGTATGTTGTATTTGTTACTGTACCTTGACCGAACCACATACAATTGTTAATGAGTAAATATTGTTTCTATCGATATTACACATAAACCGACTTTTTCAAAACTCTGTTCCTGTTTTATTAATAGTCATGGTAATTGTCAATTTTACAGGGAATTGCGTATGTTTCGTGGGGGAATGCATATTCAAATAACCTGGAGTATTCAATGCGATCCCGGGTATACACACAATTTCGCCTTTCTTTTCTCCTAATGAAATTTCAAATTGAGACTGAATATTGATCATTGTTGTAAATTTGTAACCATAATATTGAACAGGACTTATTACATTTTTATTATTGTTTTCATATGGGATATAAATAAATACATTTATTACGTCATTAAGAACTTTTTTTTTGTATATATAGAGAGAGATAAATTCATGTACTTAAATTCTCCATTTAGAAATATTTGCTGTCACATACGCTTTTTTTAATGTAAAGTCGATCATACACGCTATAATTATCATATGTGTTTATATCTAATGATTTTCATTTCTGAATTCATATATACAATATCATATGAACATTAAACGATAAAATAACCTAACAATTCGTAAATATTCTTAATTGTATTTTCTTTTACAAATTAAGAGCCTTTTCAACGAAAAAACCCTTCAAGGATTAAAACACTCTACTTTCATGTGATTAATTGAAAAAAAAATTTACATTATTTATTTCAAAAGAGACAAAAATAGCTCTGATCAGTGAACTTCCTGTTAACTGAATTTCTTATTTATATAATGAATGTTTGTCTGTATGTTTCTTATGTTTTCTGAAGGCGATTGTGGTAAAACTTTAGGGAATGATTGGATGCATGCCGGCGAAGTTTCTGAGTTAGTAAAATAGACCCGAAAGGTTGTTGTGAGGGCTTAAGGGGCGATTCAGATAAATATTACCCTTTTTAAACTTTTAGACGTACAAACTTGAAATTTTGTTGCCATGGGATTTTTTTGTTTTTGAATATGAATCCGATAAGAACGGCTTTTACGGAAATTGACACTTACTATAGTGGATGACAGCTGCTGGGGCTTCTTTATAAAAAAAATCATTATCGAACTATTACTTGCCGTAATTAAATTTAGTATGCATGTTACTATTGATGAAAGGAATTCGCTAAGGAAGGATTTTACCAAATTTCCGGAAAGTTGGAAAGTGAGGATGTTAGCGTGATGAATTGGCCAATTAGATCTCCATATCGCTTTCGTAAAGAGCATGCCTGGGACACTGGTGCGAGCAAAAGCAACTTGTCACCTCTTCCCACCTCGAGAACCATCCAAGACCTGAAAAAAAGAGTTGCTGAACGATTGCGATTAAATGACACAGGAACCTATAAATTCTCTTATTTAAATTTCCTTTTTCTATCCTGTTGATCAAAAACGAGATCATCCCCCGTATTAACCAATTTGTTTCTGTTACATTATTCAACTGCTGTTTCATACTTTAAAACAGTGCTTCTCAAACTTTCAGAGTTTGCGACCCAATATTCAATCAGAGTTTTCATCGCGCCTCTCTTCCATACAAAAACAATGAATTGAGAGAATTCAATGATACTTTACATTGAAGCAATAGCTACAATGCGACTTTAACGTTTTAAGTGTCACCGGCGTATATAATCGTTTCGCATAGTCATAGCGTTTATTGCCCCGGACGTATATACGTCTTTCCAAAGCATGATCTTTTCTGTGCACTGCTATCCATAAGAAAATTCCGAAGGCTTTGGAATACAATAAAAGTACATTTGCAGTGTTTGTGCGAAGAATTTAGTTATTTCAGAGAATTTCTTATTTTTTCTTCCTTTTCTTCCCCCTCCCCTCCTCTCCATGCATCACATACGCATGCTTAAGTGGAAAACAATGGCATTGAGGAAGGAATCATGTAACTTTAAATCGGCAGTGAAGTAATTAATTTTAAACCGTACAAATTATCAAGATAAGTGTTAGTTTGGCAATCCCATGGGGTTATTGATAATTATAAAACGTGTTCTTAACTTAGTGTTGTTATATAAATTGCAACATACATTGTGCAGTACTAATATATTTATAAGTGTATTATGTCAGAGTAAATGTGTATTTTATTTTTTATTATGTCAGAATGTATTTTGTTTGTTTAATTTCAGTAAATAAATATATTTTTTTAAATAATATTTTGTTTTCGACTTTTCAGCATGCTCGCGCCCCCCTCGTACAGTCATACAGGAGCGCGCAGTTTGAAAAACTATAATAGTATTACGCCCCATCACACGTGTGTATTTTATCTGTTGTGAATGGGGATTTTCTCTTTACATCAGCTCTGTATACATACCAAATTTCATTGAACTACACTGGTGTACAAAAATTAAGGACGAGACGGTTTTTTCAATAGAACTTTGTACAAAATCAACACATTTAATACCCCCAATACGTAAGGACATGTCTAATGTGAGCAACACTTACTAAAAGAGGGATAAAGAAACTTGATTAAAAAAGTAGCATGGAGCGCAAAATGCGACTGAAGGCCGAAACATCCCTGTGATGGGTGTCCAGCAAGAAACATCCGGTCTTTAGTAGGGGATAGGATCTCCCCTGACTGCTAGGCAGGTTTCACAGCGTCTGCCCATGCTGAGAATGAGGGTGTCAATGAGTTGTTGAGGCATTGCTGCCCATTCGTCTTTGCAGCGCCAATCGAAGCTCCGAATCGTTACTGGTGGTAAGGTACGAGCTGCCAAGCGTCTGCCTAGAAAATCCATACATGCACGATGGGAATGAGATCCGGAGATCGCCGACCAATCCATACGTTCAATATCCTCCTTTCTAAGAGCTGTTCGGCAGCTACTGTGCGATGACATGGTGCATTGTCGTCCATGAAAAGGAACTGCAGACCCCATAGCGCCTCTAAAAAGACGCACATATGGAAGAAGAATCTCGTTACAATAACGGGTCCCGTTGACTGAACCTGCGTCGAAGATGTGAAGGTCTGTACGACTACCAAGCATGATGCCTCCCCAAACGAGAACACCGCGACCTCCATACCTGTCTCTTTCAATGATGTTCGAGGGAGGATTGCGGCTTCCCCGCTCTCTCCAGATGTATTATGCGATCTGAATCGCTACTAAAACTGGGCTCTCATCTGATTCGTCAATGTCTCTCCAATTCCGGTGTTCCCGGCACCCCAGAAAACGCCTTCTCCGATGGACAGGCGATAAAGGTACACACCGTACAGGGCGTCGTGCAAACAGATCACCACCGTGCAGTCTTCTGGCCACGGTAAAACGCGATATCGGTCGTCAGTCGCCTGTGTCGTGTGAGCGGATTTCTCCGCTGTCTGCCGCCTGTTTCTTCTGGCCTGTAAGACAATGTACCGGTCATCTGCGGGTGTGGTTCCTGGTGCACGACCACTACTGAACCACCGGATAGCTGTTCCTGTAGTTTGAAATTGTCTCCAAAGTCGTGAAACGATGCTGTGAGCAATTCGAACTCTGCAGCCACACTTGTCACACTGCGGCCTTCCTCAACTTCCCAATGATTTGACCTCGGGTAAAAGCATCCAGATGTCGTCTAAAAGATTGATTATTCGCCATTTCTCGCTGAGGCAGCAACTCGGTGTGATTTTAACTGCTATACGGCGTGCAATTTCTTTGCCAAAAATACTGATCTTACCGACAACATGCTTTATACTACTCAGACACTCCCCCATTACGTCTACCTGCATATCTGCGCATGTGCTACCGTACATCACCCTTACTTAATCTCCTGGTTGGTCTTTCTGTCCGCTCTGCCTCTTCGTTCAGCTGATATGCTAATTTTTCGACTTCGTCCTTAATTTTTGCACACCAGTGTATGTTCAGTAGTAGCTGTTGTTGTTGTGACTAATGCCACCTGCCTGACGATGTCAGATTAAGGCCCGCGAAATTCATCGTGAATAAGGGCTAGATTTTTACACCTGTCCTTAGCTTTAGCTGTGAGCACCGTGCAGGTGACGATACGATTTTACTCGATTCCATCTCCCTCCATTTAGAGGAAGAAAACCTTGGAGTTGGTCAGGAGCCTATCCACCTCTCTTCCCCTTTCACCACCCTGACGAGAAGACTTGCGGCTCGACGGCTATTTAGAGTACCCCACGCTTTAAAGGCACTATACATTTACAAACATCAATGTCTTCTCCGGGATTCACACACAGTTCCTACGGCACCGCAGTCAGCGTCGCTAACCACTGTAGGAGTTAGGCGACCAGTTCAGTAGTTCTAGAGATACCCGACAAAATCGAAAACAATCTCTTAATTTTGAACACCAATGAATATATTTAAGTGGGTTGATGAAGCATTAAGTTATGCTGATTTATTTGTCCCTTGCTTGTTCTGTTTGTACACTAATACATTAGTTTTCGACACATATTTTTAAATCATTATTCATTTTATTTCCCATGTAATATATAAATACACGCCACAAAGTCAGTATAACGGATATGACCCTCGGCTTGTAACCGCGTGGCTTCGGGTTCGAATCCCGAATAAGGAAAGGATGTATTTTCTTCGGGAAAAGAAGTCGGACTTTCACCTGTAATGGATTCCGGTCTCGAATGGAAAGCAGCGCACCCCTACTGTTATATGCTGGTATCATCATTTGTAATGAATGTCTATATTCTTCTGTTTGTATTGTATGTTTCTATTCATCCACTTATGTTTCATATGTATCCCAGGATTAAAACACACAACAACAAATAAATTGCACAAAATGCTGTATATTTCAGACATTAGATTCTCATTTTAGTAAAACTGTTTACAAATTATTTTATAAATATATTAATACCCATTCTAATTCTATTTACTGTATAAATGTCATTTAAATTTGCTTCATTGATTTATATTAGGCCTTCGAATCAAAATAAATAATTACAATTTGATCACAACTTAGAGCCGGGATGAGCATTAAGTCGATCGCGATCGACCGGCGGACAGCCAAGATATTTATGGGTGACCTCCTTCACATAAAACGTTAGACGAGCATACTAAAAGAAACACAGATGGCTATCAAAAGAATAGAAAAACCCGTGAATAAAACTGCAACGCAAATTTGTGATACGTTTTCAAGAATTTACTAGACTAGAATAAAAAGTTGCATTCATGGGTTACCCATTTGGCAATGTTGATGTGAAAAATGTAACTAAAAATATGTTATTTGTTCTTAAGGAAAACGAAGCTTTTTTTCTCCTTCAATAGGACGTAATTTGTAAAGAATAAATTTTGGAATCTAATAGACGAAGTAAAGAATCCCAATTTCAAAAAAGCTGCATTTCATTTAACTCCGTTCTTTCGCTATACCTATCTGTGAGAATCTACATTTAGAACGAAGAATATAATTAAGACACCATATCTCATTTCCGTTTCACAGGCAACCATTCAGAATTCAGTGTAAGATTATCAGTTAGTTATTATATACTGAGGTATTCAAGATTGGGACGGATAACATGAAGACTAAGCCTTCTACCGAGACTGCAGCTACGAAAGCTAATTTTAAGTGAAAATTACTTATTTTTGATGTATTGTGAATTGTTTGAAAATGCATAATTTGATATTATTAAATTATGCATTTTTGTGGGTGTAATCATTATGCTTGTATTTTGCATTTTTAAAGAGTAAGTTTTTCTTCTGTAGTAGCGTAGGTAAGTACACATGATATTCTCTACTTATTATTGTTAAAACACATGATATTCTCTACTTATTATTGTCTGGAGCATTTTTTTTGTTCATCACACCTACGTCACAAGGTGGACAGCAACATCTTGAAAACAATTTAAAGTAGACCGTGCTATGTAAAAATCTGCCCACTCCTGTCTTAGCGTATAAAGGAAATGTTAATAGGTCTTTGTGAATATCATTATATTACTAAAAAAACTCTTTCACAAGAGCTACCTAAAAAAGAAATTTATGATTCCAATCATTTTTCTACAAATAATAGAACTATCTAAAGTAATTTATCCGCGCGTTTTATGCTCCAGAAATATTCTCTTTCAAGAAATACTTTTTGAATCTGGTTACAGTTTCTCATGTTATTAACACTTTTCGTTCTGTTCGATGAAGATTTCGTGTATTCTTTCCATAATGTGTGGTATAATTTTCTCATAAAATACTGTAATAACAAGACAGACCACCGTCAAATTTATCACCGTCTTTCATTTGAGCCGTGTATAGGAAAAGATACATGTAATGAAAGGCTTGCGTTTGACTGGCAAATTACCATGATTTCACTATCCCTTTTTTATTTTTGAAAACTAGGAGTAAGGAATAAAAATGGAATAACTTCCATTTTCGTAGCTGTCAAACTTTTACTGGCCGTTGTTTCTGAAAAATTTTGAGAGGAAATTATTTTTCTTGAAAAGGAACCATGAATGTTTTCTGTTGAAAGCAAGCTTGATTTAGATTGTTTATAGCATTTATATCAATCATTAAATGTCATAGAAAAAACTTTTTGGTATTTTATCAGAATTATTTTACTGTCAGAGCCTATCAATGTCAAACATTTTACCATTTTTTGTGATATAAATACTTCGCTTTTTATAAAAACTGAAAATGGAACAAAAATAGTTTTTTTTCTTTTACTGTTAAATGTATAAACTGTAGTTTTATTAGTTATATTTCATTTTTGTTACAGTTTTCTTTATTTTTCTGTAGAAATACTTAAGATTTTTCTCTCAGTGACACTTCCCTTTTTAAAATTTTTTAATAAATGACATGGTTAGTCATTACACATACGAAATCCATTTTAATATGCTCAAAATATTAGTTAAAGGATTACTTTTCAATGTGTGATAGCGTATTTGCAATAGTAAATTAATTAGGTTAATAACGAAATATTTACGAAAAAAACTTTCTCTTGAAACAGAATTATAGAATTCATATTGGAATGGGAATGTAAAAAATATTGAAATTGTCAAAGAGAAACCAAAAAAAAAATGATAATTTTACTATGTTTTCTAAATGACTATTAATCATATTAGTGTAGAAAAAACTCGTCTGAATATCACATTTGTACCAAGAAAATTACACCACTGTAGATACATATATATAAAAAGTGTAATACATGACACTTGTGCAAAATAAACAGAGAAACACTGTGATAAAAAAAAACAAAGACAAAAATTTAATCTACTCACAAAACCTTTGATGTTATCCGTGGTTTGAAGAGTTCCATTTTAAATTTCTTTTAAAATGAAAATAAGTTTAATAGATTTTTTTTATTTAAATTTATTTTCCCCGGTATTCTGTAAGATCTTTTTCAGTGCTATTGAAGAAATAAAATAAGTTTTTAAACTACAGTAAATACAATGTTGATGAAATTTTTCAGTTAAAAGTGCTGAAATATGCAGCTTGTTTCTCAAATAAATTATCCAGTTTTGTACTCTAAAATTCCATATTAATTTCGAATATTGTATGATCATAAATTGAATATTTTGCAGTCGTGTAATATTAATATTTGAATATTTATGTAGATTAAATTACTTTGTAAATTATGTTAAATTCACACACACACACACAAAAAGTAAGCAATTAATATAACTAACACTATTAAATTCATTCTACAGTTTAACAAGAAATAGTAACAATAATGTGATGTAATTAAGATAACATCCTATTCGACAAGCAGAAAAAATACCCAATATTTAGTCAATTTTATTAGAGAAAAAAAATTAAGAGTGGAATTTTGCTTATGATCCCATTAGGTGAAGTACTACTATGAGAGTTTTTCGTGCCATTTCTTCGCATCTATGACGTCACTCTCCCTTGAACGAAAGGTTTCATCCTTTCAAGTTGCGAATGATAAAAAACAAGATATAGGAAACAATTTCAAAAGAACTATTATGTACCGTAAAATCCGACGTATTACGCGCACCGGTGTATAACGCACACCTATACTTTCAAGCTGATTTTTTTTAAATTTTTAGGTATATTCGCCGTATAACGCGCACCTCCTTTTTAACGAAGAAATCTGAGATATTAGTATACATTGCTTTTATGTTTTGAAAACATTTATTCGAGGTATTATCCCAAACTTTTGAAAAAATAGCATGCTTCTAGAACTACAACTCTTTTAGTTCGTAAGGCAAGTCGTTTCTTTTAAATAAACAGTACTTCGCTACTTGAGGAAGAAAAGTTTTTTTGTATGTATTTTTATAAGCTATTTTTAAAGCTATCATTTTTATTCCCTGCGTATAACGCACACCCTTAAGTTTCGATCTTATTTTTTGTGTTCAAAGTGCACGTTATACGCCGGATTTTACGGTAGTTCAGTATTCTGTCTTCCACGGTTTTGCCTCTAACCATGGTTCAAAAATACAAGATTCGTTGCCAATAGCCATCGTGTTGCTTTATAATGCGATCTTAATAAAAGGTGGAACGTGGGAACTTCCTTTTTTTAAAATGCAATAAAACTCACTCCATGTTTCATTCGACTTTATTGTTGTTTTCCGCCTATCACACAACACTGGAACTTAAAATTTATATAGTTTTAAACACACTGTCTGTTAAATGTCGCCCTCTATTATCAATGCACTCATCAATTTCGCGTCACCTTTTCAAGTTTATCCACCGGGATATTGTCAGTTTTTGCTCCTCTGATGTTTTAGTATGTAGGTCTTTCAGGGTTTTGGAGTGATCTTTTTAAAACAGGGACTTGCAACAAGCTCCCCCCGGAAGTAATCAGGGAATGATAATTCAAGTGAGCACGCTGACCAGTTTATGTCTCCTCCCAAAGGGATTAGTCATACGGGTATGGCTTCTCTTAACCCATGATCACTCACGTGGCGTGTTCTGTACACGCCAGCAACAAGAAAATCCCCCTAGGATTCTAAAAAAAATTAAAAGAAACCACGATTTTTTCTGTAGCTGCCCATTTTAGGTCATTGAACCTTCAGAACTTATATAATCCCTCTTTCTCGAACGATTGGAATGTAATGACCTTCAAAATTTATCTGAGGGGGGCTGAGAACTCCCGCGAGAATTTGAACATATGTATACAGTCTGCTCTGAATGTTTGGAAAATGATTAAAATATTATTTTTCTACTTTCTACTATCATTGTCTCATTAATTATAAAGTATATTTACTACTGGTATATACGTTTTACTGGTTTACGAAAAAATATAAAATTATGTGTTTTAAAATGAAAATTTTGTATGTTTCGTTTAAATTAATGTTAATCTCATTTGTATGCTCTAAATTTATTAACTTTATTTGTATTAAATTTAGATAGAGAGTTGAAATTACTTCAGTACAAAAACAATTCAACTTTGGAATGTTTGTTTTGGTTATTTAAATTAAAAAGAAAACTAAGAAAAACAAATTTTTTCTTACCATATTTAGTGTTCAATTTATGGAAACTTCAATAAATCTTTTTGAAGCAACAATTCTTACAAATATTATATTTCCATGTTGATTCGTTTTCAAATTACATATAAAATACATTGTATAGTCGGTGTAATAAAGGGGGTTTTAAAAGGGAAAGTAGCAGTTCAAAATTCCC